GGCTCCCCAGTACCAGAGAGACATGGCACTCCTGGAGAGAGTCCAGCAGAGGGCTCCAAAGATGATGAGGGGCCTGGAGCGTCTCTCCTGTGAGGAAAGGCTGAGAGAGCTGGGCCTGTTCAGCCTGGAGAAGAGAAGGCTGAGAGGGGAATCTGATCAATGTGTATAAGTATGGGAAGGGAGGGCGTCAAGAGGATGGGGCTAGACCCTTCTCCGTGGTGCCCAGCGATAGGACGAGAAGCATAAACCGAAGCACAGGCAATTCCATCTGAACCTGAGGAAAAACTTCTTTGCTGTGAGGGTGACGGAGCAGTGGCACAGGTTGCCCAGAGAGGTTGTGGAGTCTCCTTCACTGGAGATTTTCAAAACCCGTCTGGATGTGATCCTGGGAAATACGCTCTGGAGGACTCCGCTTGAGCAGGGGGGTTGGACTAGATGATCTCCAGAGGTCCCTTCCAATCATCTCAACCATTCTGTGATTCTATAGATAACAAGGCAGTTAACAATGGCATTGGGGATTGAGCAGAAGTCTTTTTCTTGTAAACTGTATACTGTTACTATAAAACTATAGCAACAGATGTGAAACCCTACAATACCCTCCTACAGAGCAGATTTTCAAAGTGTAAGTGCAGTTTACCTAAGACGCTTCCACTTCCTTTGTCATTTGCTGAGACCACAGATTAAAAAAGTAGTGCATTTTGATTTTGGCAAGTATTAGAGCTTGGACGCTATACCACCACAAATCTGGTATAATTTCTATCTCCCCTTCACGTCTTCATTCTCTGGTTTCTAAATACAAATGAAATGTCTCTTCATGAATATGCCCATAGCATGTGGGCTAACAAAAAGCCTCTGCTTATCAAGTATCCTCAAGGAGAAATAAAAACAAAGTTTGCAAGCTACAACTTTCATTCACAAGCTGAAGACAACACACAGTTTATTGATTAGAAAAGGTCCTCCAAATACATTATACAGCAATGATATTTGTCAGTCAGATTTTGTACTTTTTCTGCTGAATTAAGAAACAACTTAATTATGAAGGCACAATGCAGACATTTCAGGCAAGCCATTAATGTCCAGCACACCTGGAAAGAAAAGCATCTTCATTCTATTTTCTTTAAAAGCTATTTGCTTGGTTTTCCTGACAGTTACATCCAAAAATTCAGTAAAGGCCTGAAACAGAACCCATCATCATACTGTAGAACGTGCTGAAGCTGTCAGAGAGCCAGTCACGCTTTCTCTTTTGCTTTTCCTCCACTTCCAGAAAGTTTCTAGGAAGACAGTTTGCTTGCTACCATTTCAGTCTCTTAAAAATTACTAGAAAACACTCAAGAAGAATGAAGGAAAAAACAGGCTGATAGTAAGGTGTTATGAAAAATACTTGCATATTGTATTTTGTGTGAGAGAACAGTAGATACTTTAAATTTAACCTCCTTTTAGATGTCCCTACACCATTCCTGTAGAGTTTAACAGCACATACACAATCTGATGGTTTTCTCAAGCCAAGCAGAGTTGTTGTTTTAGATAGCCATGGTAATTTGCTTTCACATCAGTACATCCGGAGAACTCTTCTGACGGTCTCCACATATTTATCACCAGAAACAGGTTTTCTCTGGCTTCCTGGTTCCAGAAACTTCTTGATTGCAGGGATGCTGCTTATATTTGCCTTAAATGCCTTTAAAAAGTAAACAAGGTGGTATTTAAAGATCAGAATGTAACACAAGAAAAAGAAGTTAGACTGACTTGTATAAGCAGAGGATTTAACTGAAGAGGGCACTATTTAGTTGCAATACAACCCAAAGACTGTCTATGCTTAAGGCTTGCATGAGCCAGTCCAAGACTGACATAGTGGTACTTTTCCCCTCAACTCGTGCATCTTTGTGCTTGTGAAACGACTTCCTCAGCTGGCTTCAGATCATGTCAGGCAGAAGGGGACTGCTCTCAAAGCGAACAGAAAGGAAATAGTCAACACAGCTACACTGGAAGAGACACCACCTATGCAATATTTGCACTGTTCATGTAGGTAAGTGCTTACTCAAAGCACGACAGCTGTGGGGACACTATGAAAGAAGACACTAAGTGTTAGCACTGCCATAAGTGACTGAAGTGATAGCACAGGAAGAAATAGGAAATACCAAGGATTAACCACAGTGCTGCAAGTAAAGACTACATTTAAATACATGTAACGAAGTGCTGCACATTTTAAAAGTATTGTTTGATGGAGTATGATTGCGTCATTTACCCAAGTGATTTTAGAGTGAGTTTTTTTTCTAAACACTTATAGGCAAATAACACATATTGTATGGAGACTGAATGTTTATGTTAGCATCCTCACCTACACAGAGTGCTTCAGAAACTTCAGTTCTAGTCCTGTAGCAAGAACACTAGGCAGGAAGAACTAGCTGCCAGCTTTGTGTGTTTCATTGTGCTAATATTCTTTCCAAGGATCCATGTCTTGCACCCTCTGTCCTTAGGGTGGCATCAGTAGTACTGAGTGGGTCAAGAGCAGGAGAATCTCTTCCCCAAAGCGTTATTAACGTAGCTCTGCTGTTAGCAATACTTCCTCTACTGATCAAGTAGTTCCAGAGAGATATTGTGAGTAGTCTCCCCAGTAACAGCAAAGATTCGTAATGATTTCTGTAAGTGATGCTCCTGCATTCCTTTCAGTCTTCCTAACCACCTTTTCATTACACATTTGTTAACAAATTGCTTGTTGAAATAAGAGAGAAAATATAGTTTTAGCCACAGCGGAAGTTTCCCCTTTACCCCAACCTCATAATAGTAATAAAACAATTATCTGTTGTTTCAGATGTGTACTTTATGCAAATGTGTACTTCATACAAATAACACAGTGATTTGAAAAACATTTTCTACTGAAAGGCATGACAGAACTAGTGATGGGATGAAAGAAAAGTCAGTAGGATGGATTTCTTCAGATCTATACAGGAATTGTTCTAGGAAAGAATACATTCTCCAGATGAAGCCTATCAGGAGGTTCTTCCTAACAGCAGCAGAGTAGGACTAGAATGAAAGAAAAGCGACAAACATTCTTGTTTTATGGAATTGTCCACACATGGCAGATTTGGAAAGACTGTTTGTCATATTTCCAGCCATATGAGTGTATTGTTAGTGTAGCTACCTGTAACCGAGGAAACTCTGAGAGAGCATCGGACTTCTTCTCCTCTACCATTAAAATGGCTTCAAGAAGATGAACATCTGCCCAGCTAAGCCGGTTGCCAACAAGAAAGTCCTGTCCATGATGTTTCAAAATCTACAAGTGTTACAAATGAAAGCGTTCAGATGCAGATGGAGTCAGTCCTGGCTGATTTTTTCAGAATGCTCAGGCACACCTTCTCTCACAATACTTACTGTGCCTACTCTTCTTCTGACTCTTTCTCTCTCACACAGCTAGGGATATTATTAACATTGGATATGTAAGTTCAGTTCCTGCACTTACTGATCATTTTAAAGAATATCTACGAGCAACCCTCACAGCAGTGATCCAGAACCCCAGGGTTTCTCTTACCCATTCTCCCTTCCTCCTATACCCATAGGTAACCCGAAGTACTGAACTATAAGGTTAGATACCTCCTTGGTTTTCTCTCCTTTCCAGACGAATACATCCTGAATTTTCTGTTTATAGTTACAACTTCAATGGAAAAAATAGATAATGTAAAAAGAGTTGTGATCAACCTGAAGCTTTTTGGCTAAGATACAACAAGTAGAATGTAGGGCAGAACTGAATTCCAGTAGCCATACTTATTTTAACCAACAAGCTAGCATTTAAGTGGGAAACTGTACTCCCTTCAACCTTTAAAACAGTGAAGCAGCTATTTCTGCCAGATCATCCGGTCTGTGTATGTTAAGCTTGTACTGAAAGCACCTGTTGGGTCCAATCTCTCAGAGGATGTTAGAGAAACACCAAGATGCCAGTATGGCTTAGGCAGCAGGCAGTTCTGACCAGAACACTTGAGTACCAGGAGCTGCTCTTACATCTACCTGGGGAACTTAAAACATTGAGAATCTCTGAGACTTGCTACGTTACTGTAGTTAAAAAGCCACATAGACGAATCTGAAATGTCGAACTTATGACAGCTAGCTATTTTAAAACTGTGATGTCCTTGCAATGCAAGTTACCTAGTTTTCTTTTTCTTAAAAAACAGGAAGTTGCCATTTAGACTTTATACAGACATATTCATGTACTTGTTAGATCATAAAGCTTTTGAGTCTAAAGGGATATTTGGATCCTTCAGTCTGAACACTGCTACTGCTCAGCCCATAGAATCTCACTCAGGAATTTCTGCATTTAACCTCCCACCTCTGCTCTCATACTACTCTGACCTCCCACCTCTGCTCTCCAGCCTGCTGACAATATGACAACCTAGGTTAAAGTACTGTACTGATTCTTTTCCGTTTCCTTTGCTTTTGGCAAAATACCCAGCATTCCCATTGCCATCCTTCCAGAGCAATGGAAGGAAATGATGCTCCCACGTACCTTTTCGTAGGCTGGGAAATATCTGCTTGTGGCCTTTTGAATTATATTGGCATGTTCCTTCTCTTTCTCCTCAGCTGATAGGAAGGGAAATCTCATAAAAAAGGCCATAAGATCATCTGTTCCTCCTACATACATATCAATTCTAAAAAACAAACAAACACACACCACCAACTTAAATAAGGTGGCACTTTCCTAGGCAGAGCGCTTTCTTAGTCAGATTTGTGTTGTGGTAGTAAAAGTTTTTTTTTTTCCCCCCACCAGGGAAATTATTTTTCCAGTTAAATACAAACAAACAAACAAACAAACCAACCCACCACAGTCTCACTCTCACTCATACTCGTAGCACTGCTGGTGCTTCACTTGCCCTACGGTCCAGGATTAATTCTAAACAGGATTGTACAGGCACTAAAAGACTTTAACTTCAAACAGCAAATACTGATACAGATCTCTTCAGAATCACTATAGAGAAACACAAAGCACCATAAGGTGACACATCTTGAACTAGTTCAGTCATCTAGATGAATCCCACCTTCAGGCTTTCATCCAAAGTCCAAGTGGTGACAAACTACAGGCTGATGTTTTATTAGAAAACTACAAACCACTGCATCAAATATTTTTTATATAAAAATAATCTAATTAGAACAAATCAATTGGCTTGCATCCAACAGTGGCCTGTCACACTCACTGGAAGTTGTGTGTGTCACTGAGGCACACAGGTGATTCCCTGGGTGTGCTAGTGAACAACTAATTCTAGGTCTATCTAAGCTACTATAATAAATTCAAGAGTAGTACTGTTACGGTACAGGGCTCTCTCCTTCAGGTCCTTCCCGTAGAGGTTGTACTTTGCTGCTATGTAGCTGAGGATGGCTCTAGTCTGCACCATCTTCATCCCATCAATCTCCACCATGGGCACTTGCTGAAACAGCAGGACTCCATCTAGAGCAAGGGAAAGTCACACATTTTCGTGCTGGATCCAATAGCTCCATATAAGATTTCCTGTCACCTTCAGGAAAAGGTGTTTACTTTTATGGTGAGTTTGCTGTGATTGGTCCTTATATTACACTGAGGAAGAATTTCTTTTTTTTTTAAAACGTGCAAACAATAAATTACAATGGTGCAGACAAATTAAATGGAAGAGCAGAATTACTGTGGATTAACAGCCTCACTTAAAAAAAAGTTCACTAAGTTGCATTCTGGACTGTGTACAACCGCTTTTATATGGATATTGAAATACAGTGGAGACTGACTCTAAAACATGAACAGAATAAAGAATATCTAATTCTAAATAAAGACCTAAAAATATATCTCTGTTCTGCTATTTGAAACACAGTTGAAGCAAACGTCAGATTCCCAAATGTCTCCCTTTGAACGAGTATCTAAAGGTAAGTTAGACATTCAATAAAGTTTTAGGATAAGCTTCTGCAAGTTGTTGAAGCCCAGGGTAAACGTATAGGACCACGTGGAGTATACAGAAGGGAATAAAATTCATATGGTAACTGCATGACGCTGCTTTCTTCATGAATGAGGATTTGATGAATTCTGACAAATGAATTTCAAATACAACTTGGCAAATGCTCAGGTACCACGACATTTAACCAGTCATCTTATAGCTAAGTCACAAAAATATTTGCTATGGCCCATTTTTAGAAGTAACCACATGTTCTTAAATCAGCTAAAGTGATTTTTCATTAACAGGAGGGGCATCAACCGACAAAGGGAACACAGAACAACCGAAAGGCCTGGAAAAGGCATTTAATCTTCAATTGTGCCTGTCCACACCTGGGGAAAAACAAAACAAAACAAAACAAACCCACGAGTCCCCTGTTCACAGCTCTCAGTTTTACTTCCCTCTCTGCTCTGAAAGTCCCAAAGGCAATTTCAAACACACCTTACCTGAGGTTAGAGTAAAGCCTGCTCACACGTTTCTTGAGGTTTCATCTGGACTCACCTTTAAGGAGCTTCTCATACTGTTCTCGTGTTTTCAAAAACTCTTCTTCAAACTGACAGAAGAGAATAGGGAAGAAAAGGAAATGAGCATCTTGTCACATTTCTAAGAACAGACAAATCTGTTAAGCATCATACAGGGAAGAGAATATACAGCGTGGTTCCTTCCATTCCAGGTGCGGCTCTGAAGAACATACAAGGGGCAGAACCCCTTCGCAAAACCTCTTGGCCTGTTTTACTTGGAAGCTGCTGCCGCAGGCAACTCTAGCAGAAAAACTGGCAATAGGAACTGGAGTAAGGAGGGCTTCTTTGGTATTGGACAAACAATTTAATCCAACACAGTTGACCTAAAGTAGTAATACTGAATCATACTGAAAGGGGGGAGGGGGACTAGGAAATACTGTTTACTGTGCCACCTTGAATACTTTTTCTTCGTTGGCTACTAACTTAAGTGATCTGCCTCAACAACAAGCTTGCAGATTAAAATTAAAAAAATGCTAAAACGAACCTCAACCCCAGCTGCAGTTAACAACCAGCGAACTGACTCCATTTTGCCTCTTCCATCAAAGTAGTAAAGTTTAGGTTTTCCAGGCATGACTTCAACCTTCTTGTCACCTAAAACATTTATATGGAGATTACAGTCTAATAAGAGGAAGAATCCGATGGCAGGCGAAGTAGCAGTTCACAGAAATGTAAGTTAATTTTAAACAAAACATTTCAGTAAAGTTTCGGTCTAAACTGATTTAGTGTTATTGCACAGTCAAATCACAGTAACAAGTGTTTCATAGTTCTTTCCATTCCCCCAAAATATAGAAGGATCAAATATCATGTTGCTAAGCAGGACATAACTGAGAAAATAAAGTCACCACTAAAGAAATCCTTAAAATCCTTCAGGAGAAAAAAAAAAAAATTAGCACTCGAGTTTCTAAAAGAACCACTGCTAACAGCCATGGTTCAATCAAAGAGGGGAAAAGGGACTAGACAGGATTTTCAAGTCTGGCAGTCCTTATATCAGAGAAGGCCAAAAGTATCTAAAGATGAACTCTATATATAATTAGGTGAAGTATGGGAAATGTTTTCAAAAGCTCCCACTTTTCTTTCTAGCTCTGGTGATCCAGGATAAGTAGGTGACCTGGGATAAGTAAGAACTTGAGAAGAGTAACTAATTTATTCTGCAAGAATCCAGACTGAAACAGGAAGATTCAGACTATTGTACAATTGACCCTTCTACTGGCTTCATTTCTTTCTATTAACAATCTTTATTGCTAACCATAACTTCAAAGTCTATAAAGTTGCTGAAGTCTATGATGCTGCTTTTAGAGAGGAATGTTAATTCCTGAATGACTTCATAAACCAGGCTTTCTTTTTTTTTTTTTTTTTTTAAATAGACCAGTGTTTTGATCTCAGCAGGAGTCAGATTCCATTGTAGAGCCATGAGCCAAGCGAACACCAAATTTCATCGCACTGGTATGCCATATACAGAACTGCATAATACTAAGTCGTCCTTACTGCAACTGAGAATCTTTTTCCTCCGCAGGGACATTCTTTGTCCCTCTAATCAAGAATTTAATGCTGGGAAAGGGTCTGTAGGAATGCGAACAAGAGCCTTCACTTCATGAAGTTGCAAGAGTTCCTTCATACACAGGAAAAAAAAAGTGACCTTTGAAAGACCTTGAACACAGAAGAAGCACTTGGCAAGGCATCTGCTTGTTAGCTAACAGGCACAAAAATAAAGACACAAAGACTTCAGCTGACCACAGGAATTCAAATGAGCAAGGCTGCTCAGCCCTTCTAGCCAGCTCAGGGGCCTCCTTCTCTTGTCAGGAAAATCACTGGGAACACGAGCACTGCCAAGTAGCACCTGCACCACTAATAAAAAAAACAGTGCACAAGAGTGGCGGGGGGAACAAAGAAGTATCAGAATGAACTACACAAGCTACATAAAAAAAACCAAAGTGAAATAGTAAAAATAAGAAACAATGTAAAGTATGTTTTAAAAGTGCAAGTCGCTTATAACACAGGTAAATTGACAAAGGGGGGGGGAGCCAGATGCGGTTTTTAACTTGAAGTTTAAAAAAATTGGAAGAGACAGAAGAGCCACAGTACTTCAGTTTACCCGTGACACACACAAAACAGACCAACATACACTTCACAAACGGTAAGCGAGTTACTGTTTGTCAGGCCCACATGAAGACAGCAATACAGCAAAGAGCTAACAGCAGGTAAAGACTTGATGGATGCTCGTCTTTTAAATAGGTGGGACCAACAGGCTTTGAAGCAAGCTGTAGCCCTTTGACTCCTAAGGCTGCATGTGCCATGTAGTACTGGAAGAGGAAGGAAGTCCAACTTGTGAACTGAAATCTGCTGGAAGGAAGCATCCCAGGGATGGGGAAGATGGAGCTTCCTCCCCCCGCCTGCCTTTTCACCAGAAGTAAAGGAAAGAAAGCGGTAATTTCAGCCGAGAGCTGTAATCCCAGGATGCTGGCCGTTCTCCTCAACCTAGTATTCCAACAGCTAAAGATGCTTTCCTTGATACGGCCACAACCGGGAGGAGGAAGTGAAGCGAGATTTGGATCAGGTACGAACTAGTTAGAGGGACACAAGAGAGAGATGACCAAACCCAGCTGATGTAGTTTGACTTACAGTTCTCTACCTAATTAGACCCCACCCCTCAAAACCAGTTATTTTCTCTTTCTTGTTTCCACTTTCAATTAATCTGATTAAAATGAGAGTTGGAAGGGGTTTCCAGTAGGTCCGCTATTAGGTAGAATCAAGCAGGGAGCAGACTTTCTCCTGCGCAATGGATGGCAAAATTATTTCTGACTTATGGTGCCATCCCCTTTAATTCTGACAGCGATTTATGCAGCGCAACTAGCCTAACATGGGAAAAGAGAAACTTGCAGGACGGAGAACGTGAGCATCCGCACAAGAAGCCATCGCTCTCGTGCTAGGCATACGCACCAAAAGCACACCAGCGAACGCTTCTTTTTTGCTTCGCGCATTCAGCAGCCCCCAATCCACCACCAACTGTTGTTTCCCGCTCAAAACTGTGCAAGACCAACCTGGAAGGAAAGTCACCTACCGAACCCAGGACTGGGTAACCGTCTCCTGGGCCACCAACTCCAACCGTGACAATTTCTCCC